TTCAAATATTTAGTCAATTCTATTTTGAAAGTTATTACTGAACATGTTTCCGTTCTCTTAAGGTAGTGTATTCTAGATTTCAATAACTCACTGCATAACAAAACCATCTTCTCTCAGGTAACTAATCCATGTACAAACAGTGGTCCCATGAAATTTCATCACCTTCCACATACCTTATGTTTTTACCAAGTTTAAATGAGTTAATGTTCCTGTTTAATTAATGGACCAAGGAATGTCATGAAAGTGAGCTCAATGTGCAAAAACAGCTGATTCAGCCATTTAGACATGGATAAATTATTCAGGCTTGGTTTCAGGCAACCTCAGATACAACATTTTCTTTACTTTGGTATATTTTCAGTACTACTTGTCTGATAAAAATGACAGCTGATATTACAGCTAGGGAATGATTAGTTGGAATAAGTTACTGTGCCAGTCAGAGTGAGGGTTGTTTACAGTTGAAATGATGAAATTTGAAATCCTGCCAAAAGGTTAGGAACGTTACTACTGAAGTAAATGGCAGACTCAACTCCCTTGCACAGGCAGGCACTGCAACTCCCCCAGTCATTTCCTGACAACATTATTGTCACTTAATTGAATTAGGAAAAACCGTAATATATCTTTTTTAAAAAAAAACATTCTCCAAAATAAGTTACTGTTCCTCATTGGAATTTGTTAACCTGATTCTATATTTTTACTGATTTGTTACTGATGTTGAACATCCTTCTTAATAATAAAAGAAAAACAGACAACATCCAAAAACTCTCAATGGCCTGGAGTAGAAATATGTGCACAAAACTAAGGGTGCAAGTTACTCAACAGTAAATGATCCATTAATTGAAAAGGTTACCAGAAGCTGCAAAGAAATAGGACCTTAGGCTTGTTTTGACAATCACGATGAACTGCAGGCATTTCCAGAGGCAGCATGCCCACATAGCTCAATCTAATTTAGACCACTTACCTCCCCACAGTAGCTCCAAGCTAAGTTTTAGAGCAGGGAAATGAAAGAGAGGGAATGAGAAGGTGGCTGAGCACATGCGAGCAATGATCCATAGTAGCACAGTGCAGTCTGTTAACACATGTATGGCTCAGTGCAGACAAACTCCAAGGCAGCATTAAATTTAGCCCCAAAAATAACATGTTGAAGGGTATAACAGGCATCTAACGTGACCGCCTGACATATCTGAATGTTGTCCCAAGGTCATATGGCGCTGACATATATTTGGCTCCAATGGGGTACAACACCACATAACTAGTCATTTTGTTTATTTTAAATAATTCCTCAGAAGGCATTTTAAAAAGCTATTTTTAGCATAGCTTCATGCAGATGGAGAGCTGATACTTGTTTAAAATGAACAACCAAATGACAAATTCAAATGTGGCTTCAGATTATTGGTATGGTTCCAGATAAGCAAATGACCTACAGGATCTAGCGACTTCTGTCTGGAAAAAGAGAGCTATTAGGGTACAGCTTATCATGTAGCTATCTGACTGGTTGTTAAAGGGTAAAATTTTACTTTGTGCTTATCTTGTTTACAATGCCTTGCTTACCATTTAGATGTTCCTATCGAAAATGAATGCAGTGTTAATTTTAAATATATTGAGAATGTCGACAATAAAGACCACAAAGAAGTCAATCTTTGCGGATGTGTGCAGATCGGGACAGGGTATGGTGGTTCAGGCAAGGATAGAAGTTAGCAGTTTTGTCAAGGTGGACTGGTCTGGTGATGGGTCAGATATAGGACTTTAAGATCAGTTCCAGATCAAACAGAATGGAGAGAGATGAAACCAATGGCATGATGTTTTCGATAGTCTCAAAATATCACCTTCAATCCTCCAACCGTCCACTATAGAAAAGCCAAGTTCCACAAACTAACAGCAAACAGGAAACCTTGAATGGTTTACATGGCTTGCTAAGCCATGTCAAAAGACAATTAAGAGCCAGCATATTGTGGCACGTTTGGAGTCACATAGAGGCCAGATAGAATGAGGACAGGTAGTTTCCTGCCTTGAAGGACATTAATGGCCCATCAGACCTCCATCAACAGTAAACAGCAGCATGAGATTAAGTAGAATTGGTCCCTGAACACATGTGAAAGCTGACCTCATATCTGCAAATTATGGGATGCATGTAGGTAACGGATGGAAGCCCCGAAGATGGGTGTTTAGGGCATACAGGAAGCTGCCATGCAAGGGAGTATGACTGAAGTGGAACATAGAGAAGAGGTGGAGGTGATGACATGATTTGCCATGGTGACAGCATGGTCAAGGTGATTAAAGTACCACAGTCATGGACCCAGGCACTATCACTGGCAAATCTGGCCTTGGCATTTTAAAACTTGTAGGCATATCATAACTAGACGTGAAAGCACGAATTGTGGGAGATGTGAGATGCATGCATTCAAGGATCACAGACAAAGAGGGATGGCAAAAGAATTGGTGGAACCTGTAGGAAATAGATGGGCCAATAGATGAACCTGTAGGAAATAGAGGGAATGGATAGTCATAGTTCTTTTGAAAGAAAAACAGGCAATGTCTAAATATAGACTAATAACAATTAAGGGAACCGTTGATGGTTATTAATAATCATTAATTATACCCTGAGAAATCTGTGTCCCATGCAACAAAACCAAAGCAAGTCCATCAGTGTGTGTTTTGCTGCAAATCTTTGCAGATCATTAATAGCTACCAAATTGAGGACATGATTAAAAGGGAGAAAGTGATTTCAGACTTAGAATTCTCTATCAATGACTAATGTAAAGTCTGCAAATATGTAACAAATATCCACACCTGTAAGTTTTCTTATTCTAACTTGTTTCTTTACTTTGTTCAATCTTGCCCAAGCAGGCAGCAAACAAATCAATGTTCTAATTAAAAAGCATTCAATACCAACAATGGAAACAAAGTCTTGTATCTCATTTATACAGTAAATAATAGCCAGAACAAACTTTTCAATATAATTCAAGGTATGAACTGCATTTATGCTTGGACAAGTAACTACAGAATGTTACTGCTTGAATGTAAATCTGTCTACAATTTTCCATTGAGTAGGAATGCAGTAAGCAACAGCTGGTGTGAGATGCACTCACTCCTTACTTGGTACACAGAAAAAAGACATTTTACCACCAATAAGTGCATCTGCTAATGCTGTGGGGTTTTTTTTGGGGATGTCGGGGGGAACCTTTGGGACAAGGCAGGTTTTAAATGACATGAAACATGAAATAACAACCAATCTCAACTGTTCTCTTAATCAATTTACGCCTTTTATGGAAAAACAAATCCCTAAAATACACGTTCCTGCAAAACACCATTCAACAAAAGCCAATGTGACTTTTAGCCATCACCAATAAGACAGCGTTTCTGAATTTTAATCCAGCCTTAGATTAATTCCTTTTGTCTGACTCGTGCCCTGTACCTCTGTTCTGATCTTTCTAAACATTTTAATGATCAAAAATATTCAAAAAACCTACAGACAAATTTAATGTCCACATCTGGGTGATTTGGAGATGGGGGCAACTAATAGGGTAGGACAGTGCTAGGTAAGGACTTTGCTCTCTTCCCACCTCTGCCCCAATTAAGTCCATGGTGAGGAGGCTGGTGCAGGGCCTTCCCACCTCACGACTAATCGAGGTCCTCAAGTGGGCATTAAATTATTTTTGGCTTTTTCACAGCATTTATGGTTACATAGTTGTTGTTAATTCAACTCTTCATACCAGATTTTTATTGAAATCAAACTTCACTATCTGCCATTGTGGGATATGAACCCAGATCCTCAGACGCTGGCCTGTTGTTCTGGATCGCTAGCCCAGTGACACTGCCACCACACCATCACCTCCTAATTTGGTGACTTCTGGTATTCAATTAGTGGTGGGTAGGGTAGTCAATACATAGCCGGTCCAGAAAAGAACCTGACCTTGTTGTCAAGCTCTCAGCACCTGATTGAGACACTCTGCACCAAGACAGTGGGCCTGCTGAGAGCTACCCCAACTCCGTCACCCTGCCCTCGCACTTCACTGGTCCTGGACCTCTGTTGAGTGCACCAGTGGCAGCTACCACCATTGCCCAAGTGGCCTGAAGGAACAGAGAAGCTGCTGTCCTCTCGGGGCCTTGATGCAGGGAAGGCCAGCCAGTGGTAATAAATGTGACAGGCCATCCTCTTAAGAGGCAATGTAGAGCTCCCACAAGCTCTCCAATTGTTGGTGAGCCCCCTGTTGTCGAGCTTCAACTTGCTCTGATATTTTCTCCCGGCAGCTTTCATATGCTGCCCGGTAACTGTTGTCCCCTGCTGTCTATCCATTCCAGCTAGTATCACAAGGGTCATGCCTTCTCAAGCTCATACTTCACTTGAGAAACGGTGACCCTCAGGTTAAAGGTGAGAGAGCAGCCCTATGGTCTTCTGGGACTATGTTGACTTTATTTAACTACTTAGCAATACAAGAAAAGATTTCTCTGGAAACCTAACAATAATGATTACAGGATTATTGCACTGTCATGGAAAGAGATGCAGTCCCATGCCCAGTCAGGACTGGATTGCACTACACAAATAGTTCCACGCAGAACACCCAAAACCTGTCGTCAGCACATTCATGTGCTAACAGTAGTTAGCTATACTTCATAATGTCTTTGCAATAAATAAAGTGCATCATATCTGGGGATTCAAGTTTTTAAACGTCTTCAGGCAATAATTTTCCTAAACATCTGTGGATGAATATGTCAAACTGAGGTTTGCTAAGTGAAGGGTTTTTCAAAGAAAGGTGGGGTTCGAGGGGAATTTTCACCAGTACCATGGCCATCACCACCAAAACAAGTTTTCTGGATATTATCAATTTGTTGTTGGGTCAGAGCTTGCTGTGTGCAGTTTGGCTACCACATTTCTTGCTATAGTACACTTCAAAAGTTCTGAAACATACGACATAAATGCAAGCTTAGTGTTCGAAATATCTATATGAAGCAGGCAAAACTATAACATAAAATTTCTCAGAGGAAAGAGAGGATTCACTCACCTTTGTCTCCACACACCAATGTCTTTACAATGCAAGGAACTTCAATATAACCAAAGCTCTTGAGTGTTTGGATCTGTGTTGCTGTAATCGGATGCTCCCACATTACAGTGTTCATTGCTGGGCAGAAGAGTAGCGGCTTCTTAAGATCCCAGGCTCTAACCGTGCAAGTCTGGCTCAGAGAGAAAATAAATAGCAGACTTATTAAGGGAGAAATGCACTTTAAACCTAACTGTAATCTCCTGGGAGTTAGACCAGGCTTTTGTTAAGTCAAAAAAGCCTGGTGAAATTGGTGCCTTTTAAGACATAATTAATTTGCTTTGGGAGAAAGTAATATTATTTTTAAATTAACCTCATTCTGACAAAGTGAAGTGGTGGATCAATAATGTAGGGTAGCCAGTTCAACTCTCCTCACGCTGGATTGAACCTGTCTTATCACTCTGGAACCCAATGCAGGTGTTCAATGAGATCCACAACATCAAAACTTTTTCCTTATCTGGATGGTGTCAGTGTCAAGTCAATTGACCATTTAATGAAATACAATTTCAGTGTATTTCTCAAGTTCATTCAATTGACAACCACTTTATTGTTGCATATACCCAGATTATGGTCCAATTTGTGTAAAAAAAATCGACCTTTGACCAAAAGGAATATTTACTTTTCACATATTGTGTGTATCAGTCGATCCCCAACTTTTAGCCAAAAATTCCAAACTATTTGTTCTTAGTACCTACTCACCAACTTGACAGCTCTGTGAAAACGAGATGACAGGATAGAGTAGATTTCAGCCAGTATTTTGTTTATTCATTCGTGGGATGTGGACTTCGCTGCCTGGTGGTGAGCTGTCTTCTTGGACCACTGCATTCCACATGCTGTAGGTTGACCTACAGTGGTCTTAGAATTTCAGAATTTTGACCCAGTGACACTGAAGTAAGGGCAATATATTTCCATGATGCGGAGGTACTGGTGTTTCCAAGTCAGGATGGTAAGTGGCTTGGAGGGAAACTTGCAGGTGGTGGTGTTCCCATGTATCTGCAGCCCTTGTCCTCCTAGACGGAAGTGGTCATGGGTTTGGAAGGTGATGTCTAAGGATCACCTGTGAATTTCTGCAGTGCATCTTGTAGATAGTATACACTGCTGCTACTGAGCATTGGTGGTGGAGGGGGTGGATATTTGTGGATGTGGTGCCAATCAATTAGGCTGCTTTATTCTGGATGGCATCAAGTTTCTTGTTGGAACTGAACCCATCCAGGCAAGTGAGGAATATATCGTCACAATTGTGACTTATGCCTCAAGATGATGAGCAGGCTTTGAGAAGTCAGGTGGTGAGTTACTCGCTGCATTATTCCTAGCTTCTGACCTGCTCCTGTTGCCACTGAGTTTATGTAGTGAGTCCAGTTGAGTTTCTGATCAATGGTGACCTCCAGGATGTTGATAGTGGAGGATTCAGTGATGGTAACACCACTGAATGTCAAGGGGCGATGGCTATTGTCTCTTATTGGTGATGGTCATTGCCTGACATTTGTGTGGTGCAAATGTTACTTGCTACTCGTCAGCCCAAGCTGGATACTATCCAGATCTTGTTGCATTTGAACATGGACTGCTTCAGTATTTCAGGAATAGCGAAACATGCTGAACATTGTGCAATCATCACTGAATATCTCCACCTCTGACCTTATAATGGAGGGAAAGTCATTGACGAAGCAGCTGAAGATGGTTGGGCCTCGGACACTATCCTGAGGAACTCCTGCAGAAATGTCCTGAAGCAGAGATGACTGACCTCCAACAATCACAACCATCTTCCTCTGTGCCAGCAGAGATTCTGTCCCGTGATACCAATTGATTTCAGTTTTGCTAGGGCTCCTTGATGCCACATTTGGTTGAATGTGGCCTTGATGTCAGGGGATGTCACTCTCACCTCGCCTCTGGAATTCAGCTCTTTTGCCAATGTTTGAACCAAGGCTGTAATGAGGTCAAGAGCTGAGTGACCCTGGCAGAACCCAAAGTGGATGTCACTGAGCAGGTTATTGCTGAGCAAGAGATAGTAGGAACTGCAGATGCTGGAGAATCCGAGACAACAAGGTGCAGGGCTGGATGAACACAGCAGGCCAAGCAGCATCATAGGAGCAGAGAGGCTGACGTTTCGGGCCGAGACCCTTCATCAGCAAAGGGGGAGGGGAAGGGGGTTCCGAAATAAATAGGGAGAGAGTGGGATGCGGATAGAAGAGGGATAGAGGAGAGGATAGGTGGAGAGGAAACAAACAGGTCAAAGAGGCGGGGATGGAGCCAGTAAAGGTGAGTGTAGGTAGGGAGTTAGGAAGGGGATAGGTAAGTCCAGGGAGGACGGACAGGTCAAGGGGGCGGGATGAGGTTGGTCGGTAGGAGATGGAGGTGCGGCTTG